GGCAGATTTTTCAGATTACACTAATGCAATCACAGTAACATCAAAGATTACAAGAAACTCAACTACAGTTCTAGTTTGTTGACAAATTAATGTCAGAAAGGATCTTCCTGATGAGCCTTACCTTTTCTTATATATATGGAGTTCTGCTGGCTTAGTGGTAAGGAGATGCACTGCCCACCTGGAAGCAGGCAGCTGCTCCAGAGATGGGCAGTGTCCTCCTGTGTGATAAACTGCCTCTGAAAACTGATGCACTGGGCTGCTAATCACCTATCCCATGTTCCATAGGGGAGAGAAATGATTCAGACCCATGTCCGACTGCAAGCCCAGTGACTTCCCTCAGAATGCACAGTTAGTCCCTCCAATGACTCACTAACTCCAGGGTCCCATAATATCATTATTGACAAATGGAAAGTACGTATTTTGCTAACCACCCTCCTAATAACTGCTTAGTTTGTAAAATTCATCAGGCACCTGCTCTTTCTTATCTGCAGTTTGTTGAAATTCTCTTGAGGGGCTGCACGTCTTGAGTGCAAATCAGCATTCTAGTCAAAAGCGAGGTAGAGCGCTGAATTTCACACTAGGTTATGCCCTCTATTCCCTTCTGATAGCACTGAGTAACACTTCATTTTTAAGAGGCTGTTAATTAGTACTAGATTAAATATACAAGCACTTAAGACATTACTTGCCCACAAGAACACTGTGAGACTCAAGCCAAGTTTATCCAACCTACTAGAACAGTATCCCTCTACTGGTCACCTTAGGGAGCTCCGGTGACTTCTTAATATATTCTGTCCCACAGCTGACCCTCCAGCAGGTTTTCAGAGGCATCACACAAAAGGAGACTGCCCATCTTTCTCCCACAGAGCAGCTAGTGGATACAGACTGCACTGCCTTTAGGGTGGCAGATCAGCTCCTTACTGTTTCACCGGAGCTACCAGCCATCTCAGGGAGATCGGGTGGTCTAGTGCTAAGGGATTACACTGCTAACAAAAGCTACATGGTTTGAATCCACTAGTTGTTCTGCAGGCGAAAGGTGGGCATTCCTCCTCTGTGAAATTTACTACCTCTCAGAACCTGCGGGAAGATCAGCTATAGGTTGGTTCTGACTCCTTGGAACATAACCTAACAACTTGCCATGTCAGACTGCCATGTTGCAATGTGACTAACCGTCACAGACATTCAAAACAAGGCTATACCCAGCTTTTGAGAAAGTCTGGGGCAATAGGATACTAGATTTCAATACAATTGACCTTTGAATATCACAGGTTTAAACTATTGTGGGTCAATTTATATGAGAATTTATACATATATGGGGGGAGAAAAACCTGATTAATCATTTCCACAAGAGGAGTCTGTTTTTCCAAGTAAATACTGCAGTAAAAAGTGATCTCGAACAGTTCTCGAGTTATTTTCCATGTTTATTGAATCAGTAGTCCATATGAAGAGCATCTAGTGATGCTGGCAAAGTTAGAACACTCCAAGAAAAAGAGGAATTTCTAGATATACACCATTTTGCAGACTGAGGTCTACCAGTAAAGTTCAGACAAATTATTCCAGTGTAAGGGCCATGTAAACAAAAAGGAAATTTGTGAACCTGCCACTGTAACAGGCATGAACACTTTGCACTTTTTGCAAAACACTTTATCTCATATGGAAAATGCAGCTTTATGTGGGTTCTTTATATAATACTATTCGTATGTAACACAGGAAATTCCTATGTAACATAGGAAATGTATTAATCCACTGTTTATTTTACTGGTAAGGTTTCCAGTCAACAGCAAACCAATAGTAGTTAAATAATGGAGTCAAAGTATTCATGAATTTTTGACTGTGGGAATCAGTGTCCCTAAACCCCAAGTTATTCAAGGGTCAACTTACATTTTTCACAGCAAAGACCATCAGGTAATTTATGAGAAAATAAGCACATTATCATTTTTCTTAATACCCATCATTGTTCCTGGCCCACAGTAGGTGCTCAATAAATGTTACATAACATGACTCAACACTTTGAGCTTTATACAGAGCAAGCACTCTTCATCCTGAGAGGAGCCAACCTGTCAGTCACTTCTGTTTGTCTTTAATCTTCCATGTAAGTCACAAAAGGGCCTGTCTAGGAATTCCTTTCTGTCCAGACAAGGAAGCTGTGTTATAAAGATCCAATAGTTACCGAAGGGCCAAACACTGCCATCCAGTCAGCTAAATAACTGAGGACATATACTCTATCTAGAACCAGTACTAAAGATCAGTTAGTCCTTTGAGTGGTAGGAACACAGGCATATGGACAGAGTGCAACACAATGATTTCTATCATAAAAAAAAAATACAAACACCAAAAACCAACCATGAAATGGATTGATAGTAGAAAGTAATAGATTTACATCAAATTTATTTGGACACTTGTGGTCAGGAGCATGAAATACTTAACAAAAGTTTTGAATGCCAAATAGGGATTTGTAAGACAGGTAAGAGAGTTGTAAGATGTCTAAGAAGTACTGTATTTGGCACAGCTGGACTGTCTGATATCACCAAGACTTATGATTAATTGAGAAAGGTAACTATAGTTACTGAGAACCACTGGATTCTAGGAACTCAGTTATTTTCATCTTCCTTCTTACGTGCTTCTTGAGACACGAGTCATGGTTCTCATTTTCCAGATGGAGAAATAAAGGCTCAGAAGGGTTACATGACTTGAACAAGGCCACAGTGCTTTTAAAATGAAGAGTTATTAGCAAACTTGTAGTCAATGCTGTACAGATTAAGTCTTGCAGTAGTGTTAGCAGAAGGTTAGGAAGCAAGGAGACAAAGCATACAAACTCAAATCAGCCAGTGCAGCTATTCTTTAATCTATTTTACATGATAAAGTTGTATGTAAGATTTTATCTGAGTAAGTTCCCTGCTGCTTTAACGCGAAAACGGTGGTAATGGAGCAAACTAGTTTCTAGGGGCCATTTTCTACATTTCAGTGAGCATGGCAGATTAAGTGAGAATGGTGCTAAATACAGCCCAAAATACTCCTATCAAAGAGAAAAACGAAACCAAAATCATTCTGTCCAAACTTGCTTTCATTCTGAGCCAGCAGATACCTGCTGTACTTGAGGACCACGGCGTGAGTGTGGTTTAGCCATGGACACACACAGAAATGCACAATCACAAAGCATTGCAACAGCAGTCAGAGGCATCTGGTCTTCTTTACCTCACGCCAGTCCACAGTCCACAGCACTGTATCCATTCCTCAGCTGCAAACCGTTGGCTTACGGTCTTGGCCACTGAGTGCCTCCACAGCTCTCCCACTGTCAGCAAAGACAGATCTCCTATGCTGTGAACACCACAGATAAAGTGGCTTTAATAACTAGTGCAGACATGTGTGATGCTCTTTTAATTGGATCAATTTCCTCTTAATTATACAATCTTTGAAAATTAGATGCGATTTCATAATCAGAGCATGGGATTTTCTCCAGGTGAAAAGTAAAAACAACACACTAGTTCAGTATCCCCTCCTTTTCTATCTGCAGACAGCTATCACAACATAAGAGGGGGAAAAATTACTTTTCAATCAGTCTAGCAAATTGTACTTCACTGAAAGTTTTTTTGTATAACCATAACCCCTAGGTCTAAAAATCAAAGTATGCTGCATCTTTAGCACTAAATCCTGTGAAATAAGATCATGCCCACAAGCTGGTCTTAAAAAGCAGAGGCACACTTCCTTTTGAAAGCTCTAAGTCTAAGGAAAAACTAAGATTCAATGTAAGACAAGGTGTTGGTGACTCTCTACCTTGGATACGGATTCTGAATACATGAACGTGGAAGTGAGGTCTGGATTACCGTTACATATTGGTGCTTTTGTCTGGTTTCTGACGGGGACAGATTCTCTTAAGAGAATGAGGGGCTGAGATACAGAAGCAAAGCAGCATGGTACAAATCACCTTCCTCCTCACCCTTTAAATCTCATGATTTCATTTAAAAAAGCATGAAGACCAGTTGAGAAGAAACAGTTATCAATTCTTTAATTCATCAAGAGTAAATGGAAGTAAATCTGAAAACCATTATTATGTACTTGGAGAAAATACAGAGTAAAGACCCAACAGTTTTATGATGTTTCAGTATTAAAAACGAGGGGTGTCCACCTCTCCACTTTGTAGGCCCTGATCTACGTGATACAGCTTCTCAGACAACTCTTTAACACACTAGTGGAGAAGAGTGGTATGAAAAATGATGAGCCCTGGAGATTGTCCAAGAGTGTTTACTGACTGTATCAGCCTTCATGTTTGCATATTTCCATCCATGCTCTGGTGTAATACTAATCCAAATGCTTTGCTGAAAGCCAACTTATTTCTAGGACAGTCTTCAAAACCAACCAACTAGGACCAATCCACTCTCTTTCACATTTACAATTAGAGGTGAATCCAAGATGGCACTAATCTCCCATCCGAGAAGCATTACTTCCCAAAAGGACTAACTATATCATCTCCCGTGGTGGTACTAAATGAATGTGCTCTCATACTGATTAAAGAGAGCAGACCATGTCATAGGGGAAAGATGTCTGAAATGTCAAAGGTGGAGTGAACCCCACTAAAGCATGCATACTGAATGCAGCCAGAATTAAAGACAAAGTGTCAAAAGTGAAGCATTATAATAGGAATAAAACGGGCCAGAAACAGCCAAGCTAAAAGAGAAAAACCAACAAGGATTCAATACAGGGGAAAATTTCTATTTACAAAAGGCTAAAGTGGTTCTCTCTACTAAAGTCTTGAAGATGCTAACGTCTAATTAAATTTCAGCTAACCTCATTAGGTGTTCTACTAGGGAAATACATCTGTTACAGCTCTAAATTTAAGGGGAGAATAATATGTTAAAAAAAAACCCACTTAAAGACAGAGCTTCTAAAATTCTAGGGCTAGCCAGTTGGAACCAGGACACAGCTGAATCTACTCTACAATACCACCAATAACCAAGGACAAGGGAAGGGAAGTTATCAGAGAAGACAAAATGGCTATTTCTCTCCTAAGGGGTGGAGTATCTCCTCAGGTGGTAAGTATAGATTTTGATGCAATGATCCCAACAGTCCAAAACTAGCAACTGCCCCTTAGGAGTGAGAGCAATGCCCACTGGGCAGGTGAGCCCTTCTCGAATAAGGACGCTATAGCCTCCACCCTTAGGGAAGTGAAGGATTTCCTTGCGACTACTATCAGCCACAATGAGATCACCACGGGCATCCACACACATGCCAGCAATACAGCGGAAATCCTCATTCTCTGAGAAGAAGTGGCTAATCTGTCGACCCAGCTGCCCATCCGGGCCCACCGAACCAATGGAAAAACCACCCTCCAGGTGGTGCTCATTCTGCCGGTTCTCGAGGTTGAGACCCAACCCCTGGGTGAAGTAGACAGTGCCCTCTGCATCGCACGTGACAAACTTGGGCCGCACAGCACTGCAGAGGCAGCTGTATTTGACCACCCCTGCGCCTCGGTCCACAGTGAAACACCAGAGCTTTCCACCTTCCACATCAGTTACCACAAACTGGCCTGAAGGCAGGGCTGTAATGCCCCAGGGTTTGCTCAGCTGGCTCCGGTGACAGGCCACGCAGTGGCCATCCAAGGTGTACACCTTGAGGGAATTGTCATAGCTGTCGGTCACACCAATCAGTCCATGGCAGTTCATGGCCACTGAGAGAGGAGTGAGATTGGGCAAATCAGCCCCAAGGAAGCTCAGCACAAAGCTATCAATGCCACTGGGGCTGCGGCGGATCTCCTTCAGGAAGCCCTTGCGAGTAAACACCTGTATACGGTAGTTACCTCGGTCAGCAACCAGCACTTCTCCTTGACTGGTCACACAGAGACTGACTGGAAGGTTGAACATGCCTGGAGTGCTGCCCTTAGCCCCCATCTTCTTTAGAAAGAGACACTGTTGAATATTAGCAGCAGTCTCAGGACCCCTTTGCTTAGCGGGTGAGGACTTCGGACTGGCAACCATTTCCTCAGGGCTCAAGTCCATCTCTCTAAACGTAACAGAGGTGGAGGCAGCAGAGGCTGCCGCCTCCTCCATGGCCCAGGAATCTTCCATGTTGACTGTCCGGGGCTTCTTCACAGCTTGCCCAATTTGAAGTGGGCCAACATGGCCTACCTTAAGGAGCTCAACATCCTGCAGGGTGAGCTCCCGGGGTAGGTTGGCAGTGAGCTCCGGCTCCTCCTCGTCAGCTGTTTCCTCCAGTAGTGCTACATCAGCCTGCTTAATCTTGGCCAGAAAGTAGTCGCAGCGAGATACAGCCTGCACTTCCGCAATGTTGAGCAGGTAACTCTGTTCCTCTACCACTTGACTATTGGATTTCTCAACCTCAGCCAGAGAGCCAGTGAAAAACTTGCGAGAACGAGCCAGCTCCTCTTGGACTCTGCGCTCCTCATGCCCGTATTCCTGGAGGACGGCTTTATACCTTGCCTGAAGGTCCTTGGACACTCCTTCCAAGGCGACCTTCCGTCGCTGCAGCTCACCCATAAGCTCTCGCAGACGGGCCAATTTCTCTCCAAAGTCTCGCCGCCGCTCCTCAGCTGCCTCTTTCACAGGGAGTGTGCAGTGGCCAGGAGGCTGGTGGTCAGCCTCCCGGCAAGGCTCACATAACACCACACTACAGGTCTGGCAGAACTGCCGCGGCAGCCTTCGCCCGCAGGACCGGCACATGAGCAGCCCCACAGCCTCACTGAGCCCGGCCGTGTCAATGATCTTCAGTACAGTCAGGTTGTCTGTCAACTGAGACAGGCTGGTTATACGGGTGATCTTGCTGCAAAACGGACAGCGGACACCATTGATGCTGCTGGCCAGCAGCTTCTCTAGGCACTGTCTGCAGATGGTATGGCCGCAGTGCAGAAGTTTGGGTCGAAGCTGCTCCTCTGTGAAGGACTCCATGCAGATAGGGCATTCCAGCACTTCCCGAAGGGCATCCAGGTTCAGGTGAGAAGCTGCTGCGGCAGCAGCCATGATTCTTCCTTCAAAGGATCCAGCTAACACAGCCAGCAACTAAATAGTTTATCACCTGTATTCATGCCCCACGGAGTCAATTCCTGACAAAGAAAAAAGAGAAGCCATTATTAAATTAATAAATTAATTCAGAGTCACATGGAATCACAGTCAACTCAATGGCACCTAACAATATATACATTAATTCACTCAAAAAATATTTACAGAATGGCTACAATCACTCATTTAATCATTCTGTTTTAAAATAGGTATTTATTGTATCTTCCTATGTGTTCAAAGAAGCTCTGGTAGAGTAGATCAGTAGTACAAATTATCAGATTGCTAGTTGTAAGAAAAGCAGTTTGAATTGACCAGCTGCTTCATGGGAGAAAAATGGGCAGATTACTTCCCATCAAAATTTAAACCTCGGAAATCTGATAGAGGGTCACTAAGAGTCACAATCTCATTAAAAGTAATGGGGTTTACTGTGTATAAAAGAAACTCTGGTAATAATATGGGTAAAGCACTAGATTGATAACCAAAGGTTAAGTGATTCAAACCTACTCAGTGGTTCCATGGGACAAAGACCTGGCAATCTGCTTCTGCCAAGATGACCCTGCTGGGGAGTTCTACTCTGTCACATGAGGTCACTCATCCAATCTGACTTGACAGCACCTAAGACTATGTGTTAGGTGACAGTAAAAGAGGGAAACAAAGCAGACAAGGCACTGACCTGAGCCTGATTCTAGGCAACTTTCCACTCACTGGGTATCCCAGGATGTAAAGAAATCTTTATTGGAGGAGAGTGGCCCTCGTTCTCAGTGGAACAACTGGTGGATTTGAACCATAGACTTTTTGGTGAGTATCCCAACATGTTATACGGACTATAGTTCTGGCTTCAGCCTTCAGAAACCCACTTTCTTAAGTTTCATGACCTTTGGGAAGTAACCTAAAAATGCCAAATCTGTTTCCCCATTGTCCATATGTGAAAAGAAATAATAATAATTGCTACTGTATGTGAGGGAGCTCTGGTGGCCTGCTGGCAAGAAGCTGAGATGCAATCCCAAAAGCACACAATTAGAGGCCACCAGTTGCTCTGCAGGGGAAGGATGGACAATCTTCTCCTATGTGATTAACTGCCTCTGAAAACCCGCTGGAGGGTCGGCTATGAGTCAGTTCCAACTCTACAGTACTCAGCAACAACACTGTATGTAGTTTATGTATGGATTATCATATTTTCACATATACCATACTCTTAAAATACACAAACACTATGGTAACTAATAAATGAGAAGTTTAAGGGATTTAAAAATATATATATATAACATGCATTATCTGCAAAAAAATACACTAAATAACATGACTAATATGGCATTCCTAGCACAGGACTGGCAAGCAGTACACTAATGTGTTAGTCATTACTTTTTAAATTTTGTAAAAGATTATAATCTTTATTAGGAGAAAAACAAAGAAAACTCACCTACAGTAAAAGGAACAAGTATTAACAGAAGAAAGACACTGGATAGAATAAATGATTGTTCCTAAAGGAACGGGTGAAGATGTCCCAGAAGTCGTAATAAATGTGTTTTAGGCAAATAAAACTGCACAAGTTAAGTGCATGGAGTTCTAAGTTTATCTTGCTATCTTTGGGACCCTGGGAAGTATCCAAAGAAAAGACATAACAGAGAAGAAAATATGTTTGTCATTCATCTATTCTCCTATCTATCTATGCATCCAAGTCTACTGCATACTTAGGTTTTCATGATACAGATTCTGACTTTCAGATGCTCAAATTTTAGTATAAAAGACAAGATGTGTATCTAAGTAATAATCAAGGAACAAATATCATAAATGAAATAGTATAAAGTAATTTTGATGAAGATTGAGGGTGGTTCATTATAATTTAAAAGGAGATATAACTTTCAGAGAGGTTATAGCATTTGAAATGAGCCTAGAAGGATACATAGATTACATGGAGATGGGAGAAAGAGAACTCCAGGCAGACACAAGACCTACAGAGGTTGGGAAGCACGGGAAAGAGCAGGAAGCACAATGTGTTAAGAGAACAGAGAACACAGCCTTCACACGGCTGGTGTAAAGACTGAGTGAGAAACTTTATGCAGTGTGCAAAATGCTTTGAGTTGGCTCAGCACAAAAAATTATCAAATTAAGTTTGTTCACTTTTTTCTCATTCTGAAGTACTGTGGTAGTATAAAAGGGGGAAAGAATAACGTGGCTAGAAAGGTACTGGGGAATTATTGTTTTAATAAGTCTTCTGAGTCAAAATGAGTTTTCTGAACTTCATTCAGAAGGGCACAGTGAGGCAATGAATGCATTTGGAGCAGGGAACTACAAAGCTGGAATAAACAGGAACAAGGAATCAGAGAAGTAAGTGTGGAAGGGAGCTACTCCTACTTTTAATTTGTTCCAGGAGGCAAGTAATGGAAATGGAAAGATGTGAACATTATTCTAGAAGTACTATCAGGATTTGAAAGTTGAGTGAGAGGGAGGAGATAAAGAAGAGCCAAAATGGACAATCAAATCCAGATAGTTTGAAAAATGACAGTGCCTTATCACAACAGTGTATTTCTAGTCTGAACACCTACTTCAATACATAATACATTAGCATGAAGACTGCTACCCTGCTCAATCTGTATTTACTCAGCAACTAGTCCACAGAAGACACGGACCCACAAGAGACTCAGTGTTCTGCAGCCTTATGACATTGTCAGTTTATACCCAAAATTAGAATAGACCTAACAAGGTGAGGCACGTGGATGACTACAGCCCTTCTTAAAATTAAGTCCTACAGCTGCACCTGCACAGTCTCGTGATATGCAGAAAGTCAGTCCTCAAAGGAAGAAAACAGTGAAGGGCAAAAACGCATAGTTTGAAGGACAACACAGCAAACTGTGACAAATACGATCAACTCTCTCTCCAAGCAGAAGGACAGGGACTAAAAGCAGAGGTACACACTGCAACAAAATATATTTAGCTTTGGGAATTTAATCCAACAGTCTAACATGAGACATGAGTTTAGACAATAATGCAGAGTTGGAAGGGAACTGCTTTGGTCAAGTAAGACTGAGAAAATGGCAATTATTTATTTCCTTTAAAATGTCAAATTCAAACTCATCATCTTCAAATTGGAACAGACTTATAGCTGACTATCCACTGGGTGTTTAAAGGCTATAAACTGCACAGGAGAGATTGCCTATTTTTCTGCGGCGAGCAGCTGGTGAATTCAAACCATGTGCCTTTGGGTTGGTAGCAAAGGTAGGCAGCACAACTCTCTCCCAACAAGGCCACCAGAGCTCCCTTTAAACGTGCATCAGGAATATTAAAGGCTTCCCTGTAAAAGAGGTATCTTTAATTTGGTTCAAGACAAACTATTACTTCTTTTAGCATCATATAATTATCTTATCTTGTTAAGATAGGCCATAGAGTCAGAATCAACCCACAGTTAACCCTTCAGAGTTTTCAGAGCCTATAAACTGCATGGGAGGATACTGCCCATCCTTCTCCCTCAGAGCAGCTGATGGATTTCAACTGCTTGTCTTTGGGTTGGCAGTACAACTCCTTATCACTTAGGCACCAGAGTTCCCTACTTACTAAACTGTTGTTCTCAGGTGCCCTCAAGTTGAGTATGACTCATAAACAATAGATCTGAACTTTGTCCTATCCTGTGCCATCCTCACCATTTCTGACACATTTCTGAGCAGTGTTCCTTAAATCATGCTCTTGGAAATGAACTTATAGCATGTAGTTTTTCCACAAGGAAGAGGGAGAAAGAAATGTAGTTAGGAGATTCAGCTGCTAGGGAATGGGTAGGACTGATCCACTTCCACACATTAAGCCTTGCATGCTATTATGACTCCCAAACTTGTGTTTCATGAAATTAACACACTACTACTGCCAAGACAATATACTGGTCTGTTCTGAAGACAGTAAAAACCACCTTGCTCTCTAGAGACAAGGATTTTGAAGCTCTATCTCACATACTTTGGGCATGTTGCTAGAAGGGACCAGTCCTGGAGAAGAACATGCTTGGAATTGTGAAAGGACAATCCAGGAAAGGAAGACCCTGGAGAAGGACTGACACAGTGACTAGGGTATTAAGGGCAGGTATGTCAGAGACAGTGAGATTTGCTCAGGATAGGGCAAAGTTCAGAGCTATTGTGCATAGGGTGAATAGGATCACTATGAATCCCAGGCGACTTGATGGCACATAACAATAACAATACATCATGATACTACAGGACCTCATGTAATCTGAAAATGATTGCATTTTTAAGCCTCATGGGTTTGAGGTAATTGTATAGAAATGCAGATAGAAATCTCACTCAATTCTGTGCAAATAGTCTCAATTATAAACCACAGTTTCAGCCCTCTCTTCTATCATCTGGGGCAACAGACTGAGGGCTCCATTTGGTGTTTGGATCCAGAGCATGTTATCTGACAGTGCACAGGGACATCTGCTCTTCCCAAAGCTGGTGCTGCTGATTAGCTAATTAAACAAGTCTGCCAACTTGTAAAAATACCAGCAAATCGTTTCTCCAGCTCTCTGGAAGATCATCTCACCTCCTTTAATTAAAAAGCTTCCGTCCTCCATGTCTTAGCCATCTACCTTCTAAAAATGAATTTACTGTGCCTACATCCATACCCCAAATTTATCTGAGCTGTTTGCAACATTACCAGGCTGAGGCAGATGACAATGTCAAGGATTCCTGCCTGGAAGCTGGGAAACGTGAATTCTCAAGCTCTAGTGGCCTAGTGTAAGAAGTTATGCTGCCAACCCAAAGCTTGAATCTACCAGCTGCTCCAGGAGAGAGAGATGAGCAATATCCTCCCATACAATTTACAGTCTCTGCAAACCTGCTGAAGAGTCAGCTGTGAGTCGGTTCTGACTCAACAGCATGTAACACATGGGGGCTCAGGCATGGAAATAGACCTGAAAAAAGCCAGAACCACTGCTCCCTTTCCGAGGATCTGGGAACACTGCTCTTTGAAGGATCTCCGCC